TATTATTATTATTATTATTTTGTCTTTGAATGCAAAGAAGTTTTTTTAAAGATTAGGAAACTTACAGCAATTTCTTTCAAGTTGAACAGATTTTCTTTCTTGTTGAAATGGAACATTATTTCTGCTAGTTGAGGTATATAGTGGCCTCATGACAAACAATAAGCATCTACAAGATTTATCTATTCATGTATTTCAGCCAAAAAATTGAAAATTTCACACTAAGAAACATGCTAGCATGGCTTTCCCCAGTGCTACAGAAGTCTCTATTCCTGTAATGTGGGAATTTGAGGAACCATTTTTGCAAGAACACCAATTTTTCCCTGGCCGTATTATGATATAAACACAGACAAATAAAGTCAGATTATTTTCCCATGTCCTAAAAGACAAAGAAAGCAATAAATAGAACATGGCTCAAAAGGCAGAAGCTCACAAGTTACTATTCCATTAGTAATTCTTTGGTTTTAAATAAGGGATGAGAATGATATATAAAAAATTCAGCAAGAAGAGAGTGTTTTTTTCCTTCCGAATATGGTTACTTACCATGTCTTTCTAGAAAGGAAAAAAATCAAAGAGTTGACAATCCCAACTTACAATTGTATTTGGTGTCATCACTGACGACATTATCATTCTCATCCACCAAAATACACGTCATCAAAAGTGAAAGAACTGTAATTAATTAACACGATAGCTGAAGATCTAATAAATCTTCAATCTGATAAATCCCATTCTCTTTTTCCCTTTAACATGAGCAGGTTAGAAAAAACATGGGAGAACTCTAAGCCTGCTGCATATGCCACACATGATCAAATATAAACAAAAATCACATATAATTAATCCATATTATCATATCATGATAGTTTGCATCCTATATGTCAGACACACAACTAGTGAGTCAGGTTGATTACACCCCGAGTTTGAATATATCATTTTTTCCCTTTAATATTAGCGAAATAAGAGGTAAGTAAAAGACGTTAAAGTCTGCTGTATATTAGTTCAGTCATAATAAACACCAAAGAATGGTCTTTACAAGTGTATCTTAGAATCTAAAATCAAAGACATACTTTGTTATCATTTTCTGAACTCATCCACCTACTTAGTCAAAAGTAATAAAGTAAGTGGGAAAATACCTTTTCTGTTTCACTAACTTCGCTTGCTTCGCTCACACGAAACTTTAATGGCTCCTCTTTCTGAGCTGTAAAAAAAATTAAGGAAATAGATAAAATAAAATGCATAATAAGTATTACCATTCTCAATAAGCAACACTGTCAATGAGCAGGCATTGAATGTTGAAGTCACATAAAACTTCAAATGACAGATGCCATCCAAAGAAAGTGAATAAATATAGGAGATTGAAAGGTCTTAAAAAAGTGAATGTATGTAAATAAAAATAAAGATCAAATCATTATAAGCATCTTATTCTTGGACTAAAATTAATGAAAGGAGGTTGACTTACATAATTTTTTTTTATATGCAGTTTTATACATGTTATCTGACATTTGCTTCTCGACTTTAGAAGAGGAGCTCAAAAGAAATTCTAACAAAACTTTCAGCATATCAACATGTTTATGTTAAAAAGGAAAACTTAGACATAAAGACCTTGAAGCTATCAAGATAATGTGAAAATTCTGAGAGAACATCCCCTACTAATTATGCTACGTGCAGGAAGTTCCTCACCAGTTAGCAGCCTAGATACAACTATATATTTCCTTAAAATGGGAAATATAAAACCACTTTGTAGTGAACAGATGGTAAGATTTCATACCCGAGTTCCACTCTTTACAGCTCTTTTCCGACGAACAAAGTCCATTAAAGGAGTAACTATAGGAGCATCCTTTGGAGACCCTAAAAAGAAATCAGGAGATTATTTAAACTAAGAAGAAAATACAACATTTCTCGCCTTCACATTGTACCATTTCAGAAATTAAATCTCAGATTGTCCTACGAGTACACATAAGCTAAAACTATCAGCTCACTAGCTCGTTACAGCTCCTTCCTCTCCAACTGTGTCTCTATATTGGGAAGGTTCTCAACATGTTTTGCAAGAATTCAAGAAACTCCTAATATTCAGGATCTACATGTATATCAACAAATCAACCGTGATTTCATACGAATATATGAGAGCATGGAAACCACATGCAATCAGCGCACAAGGTAAACACATGTCAATATGGTCCATTCCCGCCCATACTAAAAGAGTTGTGAAGGAGCATATTGAACAATTTTTTTTAATCCCGGTACCTGGAAGGGGCGAATAAGAGGAAAAACCCCTCATTTAGAGTTTTTTTTTTTTAAAAAATTATATGCATCCCTATAAAATTATAAAAGTAGGTTTAATCATTCTTATCAAGGTGTGCCCCCTCCCCAGCCCCCAAAGGTAGGAAAAAGGGGGGAAAAAAAAAAGAAATTCAGAAACATTAAAGCTTTGAGGTCATTCAATTAAAATGTATCCCTATTCATCTAAAGGGCTTAAACCATTAGAATCTGTATATCACAAAATCAACCCATCATATGCAATTTAGTTAAAAAGCAAACAAAGCCAAAATATAGAATTTTAAAAACATATCTATATATAACATCAAATATATATAGGAACAAGTGCTTAGAGTGAGTAATAAAAAGACCTTGAGCCCTGCCTATCTGTTTCTCCACTTTGGCCCGCATAACTCGCAATGCCCCTGTTTCTTCCTCAATCTCCTTCAATCTCTTTTTCGTATCTTCCAACTCCTACAATCTTAGGACATATCTTTTTGGTGTTCATGCCTCGACGAACTTTTCGAGGTTCTTTAGCCAAGTAACATATTCTTTGCTGTCTTTGCCGATCATGTACTCATGTAAGAAATTGGTTGTGTTGGGCTTGATTCCTTTTATCTCAAGATAGATACTTGTGAAAAGGCTTCTGCAAATTTTCATCCAATTCCCTAAAAGATAAAAACGCACCATTTGCATATTATTTGGAAGAGAAAAACAGAGCACTTAGAGACAACATAAACATGATACATAGATAGATATTTAGATACTAACATGAAATTAGGTCCTTTATATGCTATTCGATCTTCAGAGCTCTCGGGGTCCTTAACAGACAAGCTTTTGATTGCAATCTCCTCAGGGTAAGCTGTACATCCAAACTCTAAACAAGGTCCATTTCTCTTGAAAACTCTAACAATGAGGTATACTCGATAGAGGGCATCTTTCTTCATCGTTATTGTCATTGTCATTATCATTGTCATTGTCATTGTCATTGTCATTGTCATTGTCATCGTCGTTCTCCTCACCAGTTACAAAGTCAGGCATGTGAATTTCGAACTGATAGTTTCACCCTGATATTCCCTAGTTAGAGTTATGGTTTGTTGTCCGAGATGGTCTTCAATTTTAAAAGGAAAACCTTGGGGCACCTTCACAACCTGTAAGAGAAATCATTATTACCCAAAATAGAGTTTGGACACATGATCAACGAAAAATATTTGTATATACACAAATGATATTAGAAAGACTTCAAGTGGCATAATAGATAATGAATAATAATCAACTACAATAAAATCACAAAATGACGAATTAACAAACAGAAATCTAATTGATGTACAAAATCACCAACCCTTCGTTTCCATTTAAGATAACTAAGGGAATGCGGCAGAGATTTTTGAATAAAATCATATTAGCAAAATCCATTTCCCAAACATAATTAGAGAAACTATAGAGAATAAAATATCAATATAAATTGCAGAATATCATTTCTTTCATTTTCCAACATTTTCTAGCAAAAGTGACATCATGTTACCAAAATCATACATAAAGTTCACCCAATATGACCAAACAACAAAATATATCCCCTTATTAAGAAATGAGCATTATATATTAATCCATTTACATAGAAATTAAAATGCCAATACTGCAATCGATTGTACAAAAATTTCAAACGAATTAAATATAATTTACAAGTCAGTCGAAACAATTTTCCAAACATCAATTGAAAAACTAAAAGTTAAATAAAATTTCAAGAAAAATCTTCAGTCCCTCATTTTTGGCAATATACGCATAACAAAGACAAGTTATTTACATAAAAATGTTAATCAATAAAAGAAATAAAACCTCATTATTATCCTCAGACTCCTGGGCAGATTAAATCTCAGACTCGATGACTCGGAAGAGTGACTCATCAGAACTCGGCCTTTTAGTGGAATAGTGATGAATGAAAACCTAAGATGACATCGGGAACAACTTTCGAGAGAGATCGCCATGGGTTTTGACTTCCAAATGAAGCCCAGATGGCCAAAGGTACAACTCGTGAAGTTGTTATCCGGATTGTGTTAGTGTGTGCCATTTTTGTTGAGTGATATCGAGGTCTTTGAGGGTTTGAAATGAAAAAGGGGTTTTGCAGAAAGAGGAGGGTTTTGGTGTCAGCCACCGCGACGGATCCTTCTTCTTCATCGTCTTCTTCTTCTTCTTACAAGAATAAAGGAAAAGGAAAGAGTGCAAAAGGCTGAAACGTGCGGGAGGAGTGGATTGAAGGGGTACTTTTCAAATTGTCCAGATCGGCCATTTTCCACTTTGTCCAAAAATTTTTATCATTCACCACAATAGCCTTCTAAGGTTGAAAAGACAAAATTACCCTTAAAATGTTATATAATTATAAAAATATGGTATTGTTTAAAAGACAATAATATCCTTTTTATGTTATAAAGAATTTCAAACACTTACCACTCAAAA